GGCCACGCCCCCCCCCCCCTTTGGCAGGTAAAAAAAAAAGAAAAAAAAGAAAAAAAAGAGAGAAAAGCCCAGAATACCTCAAATGTTATGTTCGGGCGTCTAGAACACAAAAATTTCGCGGGGGCATGCCCCAGACCCCCTACGACAGTGTTGTCTCAATCGGCCCAACTTTCGGCCCCCACTTCCGGCCCCCCTTTTGGACATTTCTGGATCCGCCCCTGGTACTACATACATAATAATAACTACAGAGCTTCTTAAGAGAGGGATATAAATAAATAAATTGTGGAATATATTGCTTCTTAAATCAGACTAATATGGACATTGCAAAATAAAGTAAAATTCATCTTCAATAATATTGTTATTGCATATCTTGCAGGTTCTTCTTTTATCCCCATCAATATTTTCCCACCTCCCCCCGCCCCCGGTTCAATCTCAAGTTCCAGTATCCCTAATCAATAACCGTCTGTGTTTTAAATTAATAATATTCGTATAATGATAGCCTAAATTTATGTCTTTTTTATACAGAGTGAATAACCTTAGCCTAGATGTAAACTAAGTGGATGAATATCTTTTGTCTGCCGAATGTACGAGCGTAGCCTATTTTTGCACGTGTGTGCGTATTCACATGTATGCGTGTGGAATGTGTGTTTGTCTATAGGCCTATGTATGGGTGTATATATATATATATATATCTGTCTCTTATACACATCTAGATGTGTATAAGAGACAGATCTCGCCCTAATGATGCCTCTTTATATGTAAATTGTACAGAATTAAGGTTTGGATAAAATACTAATTTTGAATTGATACCAAACATCATTTTTTGACATCTTTAACCTGAGAAACTATACAAGTTTTAACAAAGTACAGTACACAAATTTATTTCGCTCGAATTTACATTCAAATACAAGCTCGCTATTCTAAATTCCAATGTGAATGCAGCTTTAAGCATTGATTGGATTCTTGCAAAAATAGGTCCGACGCCGTTAATTACGGTACAGTAACCAACCACTGTCTCTTATCATCAATTTTCGTCTGTTTGGTTCTATTATCAAGTACTGTACTTTAGTTCCAAAGACCTGCCTATTTTTTACACAATTGTAAAACGTTCGGCGTTTATATATATATATATATAGTATATATATATATTATAGGCCCTATATATTGTGCGAGAAATGTGTTGTTTTTCCAATTTTCGTCCGTTTGGTTCCATTATCAAGTACTTTAGTTCGAAAGACCTGCCTATTTCTTACACAATTGTAAAATGTTCGGATAGGGCCTATATATATTATATTGTACATTACTGTATTACCTGATCTAGTATTTACCAACTTGTAATCAGTTACACTGATGAAGTCTTGAGAACAATACGAAATATTCGCTTCCTAACTAATTTGTTTCAATTGTGTTCTTCGCGTTTTTGCATCATCATTTTTGTTTTTTCTTGATGACTTTTGTTCCATTAATTCTATTTTTTATAATATAAAAGTTTACAAAAAAAGTTTTTGTATATTTGATTTTATTATGATTGAGAAGAAATTAATAAAATGTTACTTTGTTGTGTTAAATGAGTGGGGTAAATTACTGATTATTTATTACATATGGATTTACGAAACTACATCTTTTAAACAAAAGTAATATCCTATAAATGAATGTTCTAATTGATATAATGTTTGACTGATGTCTCGTGTTGCAAATACTTAATACATTTCAATGTCTTTCCATATCATACCACCGTACTGTAATGTTACGATCATCGAAACAATTTATGAATATATAGTGTTTTTATTTACCCTAGTGAACCAAGTAAATGATAGAAATTTTTATTTGCTCATGCATTCCTTAATCAAGGCATTATCCTTTCTATGTAGTTCATGGAGATCAGCATACTGCGTTGCCGTCGGAGGTGGAGTCTCAAAAAATAATAACATATAAAAGCAAAAAAATAATAATGAAATAATTTAGACTATTTTGAAAATATATCAATATTTTGCAACTGTCTAGAAGACAAAACAAACCACAGTAAATGGAAACACCACTGTCAGCATTGTATTATAATATATATGTATTGCTTGTTCAAAAAACAAAATTGCTACTAATTCAACATGTACATAATGTCCCCCTCCAAATGTAGTTTGACAATCATTGGGTGCCATACTATTCCATATATGAAGTTTCCTTTGGTTCTTATTGTTAAAAGGTCCAATAAAATTATAAAATGAAATTCTGCAATCATTGCATCAATATATCAACAGTCAATAAGTGGTTATTATTTCAAGATCCATTAATAATTAAACACGATATTATTAAGTAAATACTGCTGAAACATTAACTAATTAACTATGTTATACATTTGGTCATCTTCTTAAAGTACAGTACTACCAATTTTTCAAATAGAATTTAAAAATTACTTTGAAGTGATTTTTTTCCACAGAAAACTCTTAGTGCTTTTAATTCTTATATATGAAACGACAATACAATAAAACTATACAATGACTAAAACCCACTATACAATCTATTTTTTTTGCTAGCTTATCTGTTGTATTTATTTGTTATTTGGTATTATAGCGCCTTTCCTTAAAGGTACGAAGCACTGTTTTCCTTTGTCATTGTGTCCACATGGTATTGTTGCCATAATGGTGCAGAAGCAGGCAACCCCACCAGGTACTCATTTTACTCCTGGGTGAAGAGAAGCAACACAGATATAATGCCTTGCTCAACTTACTACACAAGTGAAATGCACAGCGAGGGATTGAAATCCTGACCTTGAGGTTGGAAACCAAACCTGCTGTGCCAAACTACCATAGCAAACTATAAATAAAATTATGAATGTAAACTATGAATGCAAAATATGGTCCTATCAATTACAATAAGCTTAAAGTAAACTGTAAGTACATACTGTACTAAAAAGTTTAGGCCTACAGTAATGTTTATTAAAAGTTTGAAAAAAAAAAGATATCTTAACATATAAAGTTTAACTTAAACACACATGGATTGAGTTGTTTTAAAAACTTAACGAGTACTGTAAATATGATGCTCATGTATTAGTGTTTTTCTCCTCTTAAAGAAAGAATATGGCACCATTGCTAACAAGACCTTCTGTTTTATGCTGTAAAGCACGGATAAAATTTGCCAGAAATTAAGCCATGAGCCAATTACATTCAGTTAAATCAATCTTGTATGAAGGAAAGTTAGAAATTATCATTACACTTTCAGTCACAAATTAAGTCAGTGCTTTCTAGAGATCTAATGACCTTTCTTACACATCCAATTTTATTTTGTTGTAAGTGGTGATACTCATCACCAAATGACTTAAAGCAGAAATATTACTAAAAACTTTCAAATATCATCATGAATTCACTAGATGGGTGTATTATCGTTCTTCTATGGATGTTTGCTATGTACTCTCAATCTTGTGATTGACTGACTGATTGATGGATTGAACTCATTTGATATGTACATTCATAAATATAATTGTATATATAGAAAGAGAATCTGAATAACCAATAAGTTATTTAAACCATTACCAATGAGGTCAAAACCTTTTAAAATCTGAAAAGTGAGTAATAAAATACTTAAAAAGAAAAATGTTAAGCCAGAGACAGATGATGATTGACTTTCATGCAACCTATATGTATTCACTAATAATTAGAATGTTCCACATGTGTGATGTGATTGGTGATCATGATGTGCCTATATATGGTCTGTCATTATGTGATGTCATCATGACTATATTTAGGCATGTCACATGTTTTTGTCAAACTAAATTTGATAGTCTGGAGCATTCACCACCACATCTTCATTCTTTGACTTTAAAGTAAACTTTCTTATTCAGGGTTGAGTGTTCCTGTGGCTGTTGCAGCATTCTTACGCTCCTCTTGGCAATGGTCACGCGCCCCACCATACGGGAAACTTTGCCAGATACCTTGTCAGAGAGAAATATAAAAAAATATTCAATCAATTCTTAGTCAACTAACATGGATAAATTGGGTTTACTATGAAGCACCATAAACATTATATAAACAAAAAAGATAAAAAATAGGAACAGTGCTCAAATTAGGAACATGTGATGTTATAATTGTATCAAAGCATTACAGATCTTCGAAAAAAAGTTCCTTTTTACAGTTGTATGAAAAGAAGTGGTGGGGTTTGAAACTGCAACTTCTTGCTTTCAAGATGATGTAATACCATTAGACCACAGAAGTCTAACAATATAGGTGCAATTCTAAACCCAGACAACTTCTCTCATACACTTTTGCACTCACACATATGGAGCTAAGGTTTAGCTAGGATAAGCTCATAGTTCACAGCTAAGTAAATATTTACAATAGGTTTTGCTGCGTCGTAAACACTAGGCAAATAGATAAATAATCATAAGAGTGTTAATCAAAAGCCACAAAATACAAAGAGTTTATTACAGTAATATATATATCAAACACAATCCTTTTAAGTCTGTAGACTGTGTAAACGTTGTGGACCGTTGACTATGAACATATTTTTAAAGAACATGTGACACATCAGGTTAAAATGGATGATTTGATGATAAGAATGCTGTATGTTTGTTTACCTTTGTCATCAAGGATTTGAGGTCCTCTTTGTCAGCCAAAGCAATAAAAACCTCAACTAGAGCTTGAATAAAATAACTGCCAGCAATGTTGTCACGCATGGAATAAAAACCTTTCCAGAAAAAATAAAAGTATCATTAATTTCTTTTTACCTCCATGCTTAATTAATAATTTAAATATATTTCAATAAAGTTTTGATATAATATAACTGGCCCTCGAAACAGTTGCCCTCAAAATATTGGACATAAAATCCTTTCTTCCTTTAAGTAGTAAATTTGCTTCAAATTTTATCACATCATAAATGAGCCTTCAACTTATAGTACCACTCACCATCACAAGTTGAATAAGCAATGTAGAAGTCAGCTGGCAAAGGTGTTCTAAGGCAGTTTTCAAATGGATTTGGTTGAGCAGCACCAGCATCACCCATTTCGTGCTCATCTTCAACTGGATTAGCATCAACGCCAACTTCTATATTTTCTGAGGATGCAAAAGTTTCCGAACCTCAATCACAATTTATATTGGTTGGTCCCAGTAATCACATGACGTGCATTCATTTTAGCTTTTATGCCTGTTAAAAATGTAAATAAGTTCTTATTAAACTTATTAGGCCTTCTAACGGTTAATGATTTTGTCCTTAAAGATTTTTTTGATGCTGCTGACCGCATTAAGGCTATACCAAACAATTTATATAATTTAGGTTACCGATTTGTATCTTTTGATGTTGAATCTCAGTTTACAAATGTTCCCCTTACTAAGGTAATAAATATAATTCTTGACAGGGTTTACAATAAGAAACTGATATCTACTAACCTTAAAAAAAATTTGCTAAGGAAACTACTTAGAGATTGCTGTAATAAAACTGTATTTACATGTAATAATGAATTTTATAAGCAAACTGATGGTGTCTCAATGGGTTCGCCTCTTGGCCCAGTTTTAGCTAATATTTTAATGACTGAACTAGAAGAGTCTATTGTTCCTAAACTTATTGAATCAGGTACTATTAAGTTTTATACTCGTTTTGTTGACGATATGCTAGTACTAGCTAAGCCCAATGATTTCCCTCAAATTCTAAGCTACTTTAAAGGTTTTTCATAGACAGATAAATTTTACTTTTGAATCATTTGAAAACAGTGACATAGTACATTTTCTGGATTTACAATTTAACAACTGTGTAGGAAGCATGAGTATATATCGTAAAAGTACACATGCAGGTCAATATGTCCATTATGATAACTTTGCTCCATGGAACCATAAGATCTCCTGGATTCATAGTTTAGTTTCTAGAGCCCACAGATTATGTACTCCTGATAAACTTCAAGCAGAGCTTAGTAACATTAGGAAGTTTATGTCTTGGAATGGATACCCCTTAAAAGTTGTTAATAATGTACTTAAGAAATTAATTGAACCTACATGTATACATAGGCCTACTGATGATAGCTTGATTAAGATTTGGGTTAGATTGCCTTATCTAGGAAAACCAGGTGAGTTCATTTTACATAGATGTTTAAATAAGGTAAAGAAACACTTAATTAAAGAGGTAAAATTCATAACTTTATGGCAGTATACAGCCCCTAAGGAGTACAGAAGTTCTGTTGTCTATCATTTTAAATGTCCAGGCTGCAATAGTGATTATATTGGTAAGACAGATAGGTGCTTAATAACTAGACTTAAAGAACATTCTTCACGATCTGATAGTGTTATATGTGATCATGTTAAAAACTGTGAGGCATTCCAATATGTTTTAGGATTACAGGGTATACTTGAAAATGATAATGTCGTC